GAAAAGGGATGGAGTTGGTTAGAAGAACAGAAAGATAGAGAAAGGGTACGTTATAGCATTGATTCAATAATAGTTTATTACCAGTGGCGGATCCAGGATTATCTTTTAGGGGGAGGGGGTGGTTATAAACGGTTTTCTCTTGGGATATTTTTACAACATTGCAGTCAGTGATTGATAATTAATTAAGATAATAGATTAATTTAAATCTAACACAACTAATTCTTGTATGAATAAAAATACAAATTGTATGTTTTCCCTCATATAAAAAAAAAAAAAAAAATTTTCTTAATTCATAAAATTATTGATTTTTAATACAGATTTTTCCTGATTTTTTAAGGGATTAACTTCCAACACCCTCCCCCCACCGTGGATTCGCTACTGTCCATTACATAACCAACGGTTACAGTTTACAGTCGTACGATATTATCAATAAGTTCGCAGCCGTCGCACATGGGCCTGTTATTGCGTAAACTTCCGAGAACATACAAGTACAATAATACGTCGTTCAATTTTTCTGTTGATATTATTATCATCTCGCCGACTTGGTTCACTCGGTCTGTTATTTATTTCTTCCTATCGTACCACTGCACTACGCTCTGCTACAACTTTACTGGCGTCGCCCGTCCGTTCCGCATCAATATTTAATGCACAGGTGTTTTATCGTAATAATACGAGTGTGCGTTGCGGCGGATAAAACTTTCCGTTTTTTTTTTTTTTTTTTTTTGTTTTGTTTCGATTTTCTCGACGCGACTCTTTCGCGCCGCATGTTCACACGTGCTACATACCGACACACAAAGTGCCGAACCTTTATTTACTTTTTATCTACTTCTGTTCCTGTCTAGTATATATTAAAAAACGAGCTGTTCGTGTCTTGTTGGCCCGCATAAGAAATTGCAATTCGACATTCATTTCGAAACCGTTTGACGGCCATGCTACGGTATTGACACATTCTTCAAATGAAAAAATAAAAAAAAAAAAAGCTTAGTAACTTATTTCGGAAGCCATTGTTTGTTTTTCAGTTTTTTTCTAGTTCCATCTAGTAAACTGCTCTTCCAATAGGTACGTGCCCTAAATTAAACTAAATTAATTCTATATGGCACAGAACTATTTACAATACGCGAATTAAACTGATTATTTTATGTTCGGCTGATTTAAAACAACATTTATTATTTATTCGAATTGAAATTCGTTACAAGTTCTGCGATAAAAAAAAAAAAAAATGAATAAATAGGCTAGCGTTTTTGACGTGATGTTTCTTGTTTTTTATTTTTATTTTTTTATGAACGTACTCATTATTGACGGGATAGGGATCATTATAAGCATTGATGTTTCGAGATGATAATATTCATATAAATCTAAATTCAAATGTTCCCGAGCACCGGTGATTGTGCAAGTAAACGAAAACTTAATCCCCCAACTTAGTCTTTTCACTCATTGTGCATTTACGACAGATTTCTATAAAGGTTATCGATTCGTTTACATTGACCACTCAGAGCCACCACCGAGTCGAACTGCGTCGCTGAAATATCTCTAATCGAATCTTCGCGTTTGACTCGTGAATCGTATTTTCAATGACAGCGCGCCCCGCATTACAGTAGAGCGCTCGCGGTTTTACACATATTTTATTCCGGTAAACTTTTATTCGAAAACAGACGCGCACGAAAGGGAAAAGTTCGTCCGACCGCTCAGCGGCCCCGAACGACGAATTAATTTGAATGGAGCGTAATTAACTACGAACGACCGGAAAAGGATGATGGAACGTTTACCCACGACGGCTGTACAGATCCACACGCGGTACGTACCGCAGGCCCGTCTGAACTCGGAAAGACATCCCGTACTCGTTCGAACGTATCAATTTCTATTGCAAACGTACAACGCGTTTTGCTTTTTCACTTTCGTTCCGAGAGACGTTAACGTCATAATTTTAATTCCGTCGAACCACTAATAATTATTATTTATTCGCAATACGGCTTTGTAATCGTCGGGCGGGTTTATCGTTCGTTCACCATCAACGTTTCAACAGTGGAACGCGAAACGAAATAACAAAATTAACAAAATTAAAAAACGAACCTAAACGGGAATTTATTGTACTTTTATACACCGGTATGAATAATTAAATAACTAACGTGTGCATTGAAATAGTACGATACGGACGAATGCTATTGATTACTCGACAAAATGGCATAAATCAATTTGTAGATTTCAAATCGTTCCTGCCCCGAATACGAGTACTGTGTATTATTTTATCATCGACATTATATTTCGTATATGATTTTAATTAAAACTAAACGTTCCCAAACCCTCGCGAGACTTGTACAACGCAATTTCAGTAGTATCATTTTACAGTTTACAAATTTTACACCACGTATAAATACATTTTCAAAGATTTCAATGATCACACCAATGTCGTTTTTCCTCCAAATAATTTTTACCCGTCGAGACTTGACCGATTTGTTCAAACTGTTATATGTCACGATATGTTTCAACAAAAAAAAAATAATAATAATAATAATAACGATCCATTTTAAATAAAAACGAGGAACACAATTCTTACCCAACTAAATTATACGCCGGAAATGAAATATATCTATAATAATTTTCTTCGGGTAACCGTGGCTTAATATCTTACATCTAATTTACATATATTTTGCGTGAACTTCATTTTTTCGTAATTTTCATTCTCGCCTAGATAATTGTAGATTTCAAAACAATACCTCGCGTCCATCGTAGATTACTCTCACATTTTCACGCTTTACAACATAATTTATTCGAACTATGTTCACCGGCAAAAATCGAGAGTCATTATAATTATAACATGATTTCGTTTTAACTCTAAAACAGCGTACAAATCGTCGATCTATTCGACTTAAATTTGACGATTCAAATTGACGGAAATCGAAATTGTCGCGATCAAAATATTGTTTGAAAGTTCGAAATCTGTCGGCTGATATTATGGAAATAGTAGTTGGAAACCCTCTTAGCGAGCTATTCGTGCGCAAAGTTGAGAGCTCTTCCGTCGAAGGGGAGAATAACAAGATTTTAATTAACGTCAAACGCGTTGAACACGGGTTTTCTGTCCATTTACGACGATAACGGTGCCGATGTGATGGGATCATCAACGATGTTGGCGTAGCTTGTAGGCTGCAGTGGTGCGTTTAGAACCGTTTTGAACCAGGTTCACAAGTTACACTATCAGATTGCCACTCTCAGATTCCCGGTGTACGCTCAAACCGATTTCGTCCGAATTTTGAACGAGTTCGCATTGATGTCACATCGTATTTTAAAAATTACTGGACACGAGAAGATGCGAACCTGGCTTAACGCTACCGAGATTAACCGGCGTTCGGGTTATCAGGTGAATTCGTGAAATATTTGAATTCGTACGCGACGTCGCCGAGCTTAATGTTTCGAAACCGTGCGAATTTAAAACTCGCCGTCAGATACGGTATCTGGGATAGTATTACGACGCGTGAGAACAACGGCAGTGTTCACATTTTCGGTTCGCAACAAGTCGAGATAAACACTTATTATACAACGTAACGCGGAATTCTAATGGTTTTACTGAAAAACTACAACAATAATAAAAGTTCAAAACATTAAATCGACGTTTTAAGTTTTGTTTAGTACTGTACTCGATGTAAAAATAGTTCGTGAAATAGTTATTTTTCAATGGGATTATTTTATTATTTTTTTTTTTTTTTTTTTTTTAATTATGCACTATATTTGGTGTTCGATGAAAAGATTCCGATGGGCTTTTTATAACCGTCGCCGACGAGTAAATTCAAAATAATTTCAGTACGCCGTGTACGGAGTTTTTGTTTTTCTCTTTTTTTAATTCGGTTTACCCGTCACATCGTTCGAATTGACAGTAAACATCGTTGGTATGAAAAAAAAAAAAAAAAGTTATAATAAAAAGGGTTTTAAAATGTTTCCGGAATCCGTGGATTTACGATAACGGCGTACAGGTCACCGCGATTACCGACGCCACCGGTGTTCGCCGTGTCTACCACTCATAAACCAGCGTGCCTCCGGCTGCTCCTCGCCCGATCGATATTCTAACCGACAGTGTTTCGGATACCGATAGCAATGTTGATCGACCGACGCGGGTAGTCTCGCCGGTAATTTTTCGTCGATTATAAATGTATTAAATCAGCAAAGACACGTCGACACCGCTGTTCGCGGAAGTTCGCACGTTCGCCGCGTCCAACGTCGAACAATCCGAACGTTGACAATATTCTGTACCGACCATATGACGGATGCACCGTCGGCTGTGTGTGAACTCCGTTGGTAATGCTGATCGTGCGACAGTAGTCGTAGCGTGGGTTTATGTTTCCATTTGAAAATTCGTTTCCGTACCGACACGGATGACCGAGGGCGAACCGTGCGGTGAATCGGTCCGCTCGTCGGAATCATTTTAACACCGTCGTTACCTCGGTGTATTATTGTCGAAACGTACCTGTCCCACACCCATTTTCGTTTTACAAAATTTTCCAACGGCAATATTTAGTGCTCCGTTCCTGCCGATTCCTGCCACCACTCCCGGGATTCCTGCTCAACATCCGCCACGGCGGTACGGGCGAGGTGGGAACGGAAAACGGAACCGATAGTAACACCCTGGTAGGACGTCTGCGTGTACCGCGAGTGCTTCGCGGGATGTGTTTTCCGATCACATCGGTCGTCTGGTCTTCGTTTCACGTTGCGCAGCGCAAAAGGTCCCGAGCGCAGGAGTTTTTTTTTTGCAAAGTGTGACGACGGTGTTTATAGTGCGCTCCCCGAGGGGGAGCGGAACGGGGATGGAGTTCGATCGAAATCCGATCGAAGGAGGCGAGTGCATTGTCGCGGAAACCGTTCCGAAACCGACGCGCGGAAAACGGTAAACGACGATCGGTGCACGAACGGGATCGGAACACCGAACGCGCGGCCGCCGGGCGGGCTCTCACACCCGGTCGCCCCGTGCCGGTTCACGCGTGATTGACCGCGCGCGCGCGTTTCGTTTTCAGCGTCGGCCACTCGGACAGCGATGGGCGTCGCGGGTCCAAGGACGACGGCCGTGCGTTCCGGCAGCACCGCACGTGCCACAAGCGC